ATTGTTGACAAGAATGGCTGTGTTTATTGTTCAATGTTATATGGCCCCGGTTATGCACAGTATATATGTGACTGTATGAAATGAAAAATTAAAAAATAAAGAACTGGATTTTCTTAAGAACTGTGCCAGGACACGTCGCAAAATGGGGCAAAACACACTTAACAAAAGTGTCGCTTAGCAGAACAGGAATTTTCGGCTCAATTGTGGTCGTAAAGTGAGGACTATCTGCATTGCATTGTTGTTTATGTTCACAGGTTGAAACTTAAATACAGTGTAGAAGAATAGAATAGAATCAAATAGAATAGAATAACAGAGTTGGAAGGGACCTTCTGCAGTCACTTCTTAAAAACTTCCAGTGTTGGAGGATTTACAACATCCCTCTTAGCTGCAGAAGTTGCTGAAAGTTATAAAACAACTGTGACAAGACAAGAAAGGAGGAATACACAAAGCTGAGGTGGTTTTAGCTGTTTCATAAGTATGGTCTGAACTGGCTCGGCAGCGGACAGAAATTCTTTATTAGTTCAAAGGTGAGGTAATAAAACAATAAAACCAACCAACCACCAAAACGGAAACTGAAAAAAAACCCAAACCCACCAGCAGAAATGGAAACAGAAATACACACACACAAACACACACAGATGATTGGTGGGAAGAAAGAAAAGGGGCTGCAAAAATCTTTATTTTGCAAACAAGTTGTGGGAAAGCTGTGATCTGCCCACTAGGGAGGCCTGCCGCAACGAAACAAGGCGGACGGGTTGGTTGGGCAAATATGAAAGGTAGAACCCCCACTTGCAACCAGAATTCAGCCCAAGGCTGCGACGCCAAGCCGTTCTTAAATGAGCTTTGCCCCATTCTACGACCTTTTCTGCCACAGTGGTTCAGACAAGCGCTGCAGTCATTAAGCGAATCATGCAGTCGTTAAGCAGATCGGGCTGCCCCCCTCCCCCACTGTTGGAAGCTGGCTGGGAAGGTTACACATGATGATCACAGGACTCCCGGACAGTGGAACTTTCAACTTGAAGGTAAGTGGACTTCAACTCCCAGAATTCCCCAGCCGGCACGTGCCGGCTGGGGAATTCTGGGAGTTGAAGTCCACTTGTTCTTCAAGTTCCCCAGTTTGAAATACTCTGTTCTAGGGAATCCTTAAGCAATCAATTCCAAAGCTGAAAAATCTGTCGAATGCCTATTGCAGTGTTTCTCAACCTTGGCAACTTGAAGATGTCCGGACTTCAACTCCCAGAATTCCCCAGCCAGCGAATGCTGGCTGGGGAATTCTGGGAGTTGAAGTCCGGACATCTTCAAGTTGCCAAGGTTGAGAAACACTGGCCTATTGCCCCCTTAACCCCCTCCCCAATGCTGAATGACTGAAGTACGGCTGACGGGGGAATTCTGGGAGTTGAAGTCCACCCATCCTCGAGTCACTAAGCTTGAGAAATGGGTTGGGGACTCCAAGGATTATGGTGGGCAGAGACTTACCCTCATCCCATCATCCTCGGGGAGCCGAACCTAAGGGAATTCTTTGCTTTTTCAATTTTTAAAAATTGGGGGAAAAAAATCTACCCAGAGTCACTTCGATGAGTTGGGTGGTTGTAGAAAAGGAAGGAAGGAAGGAATATCTCAACTTGCAAGAGTTCATTTAGTGGCTGTTCAAAGTTAGAATAGCACTGGGGAAAAAAGTGACTTACGGCTGTTTTTCACACTTATGACCATTGCAGCATCCCTTGGTCAAAATTTGGCACTTGGCAACTGACTCATATTTATGAACGGTTCTAGCGCCCAGGGTCACATGATCCCCTTTTGCGACCTTCCGACAAGCCAAGTCAATGAGGAAGCCAGATTCGCTTAACAACCATGTTACTAACTTAAGAACTGCAGGGATTTTCTTAAGAACAGTGGCAGGAAAGGCCGTAAAATGGGGCAAAACTCACGTAAAAAAAAAGTGTCTCACTTATCAACAGAGGTTTGGGCTTCAATTGTGGTTGAGGACTAGAGGTACAGGGTTTCCTGCTTGAGCAGGGGGTTGGACTAGAAGACCTCCAAGGTCCCTTCCAACTCTATTATTCTGTACAGGGTGCCCTACTCTCTGAGCGTACCCACATCCTCCTCCTCCCACTGGTCCTTTCCTTGCGCACCACTCTGGGGACCCTGATGGGGGGGCCACAGGGGGATGCTGGAAGTGGGGAGGGGGCGCCTCAGGTCCAGCTCAGCAAAGAGGAGTGACAATTGGCTGGTTGGCCGTCTCCTCCTCCTCCTCCTGGTCCTTTCCTTCTTTGTACACCACTTTGGACCCCTTGGGGGGCAGCTTGTGGGGGGAGGAGAGAGGGGGACATGCAGGAGGAAGAAGAGGGGCACTGTGGGTCTGGCTTGGCACAACTGGGTAGAGGGCACCCCTGCCTAATCGCCTCTCCCACGCCTTCTCCTAGCCTTCTCCTTCCTTGTGCACCACTTCGGAGAGCCTGCTGGGGGCGCAATGGGGCATGCAGGAGGAGGGGGCACCGCTGGTCCGAGTGGAGGGAGACAGTTACCTAACTGCCCCTCCTCCTGCTGGTTCTTTCCTGACTTCCTTGTTCAACAGTTCGGACACCTGGGGGGGGGGTGGATGTAAGAATAGGGGGATATGCTAGAGGTGGGCAGGTGTCCCAGGTCCTGCTGGGCCAAGCAGGGGGGGGGCAGAAACAGCTGGATGCCCCCCTCCCCAACTCCCCCCCCCGTACTTTCCTTCCTTTTTAGACCCTTGGAGAATTCTTTGGGGAGGGGGTGCGAGGGATGATGGAGGCTGCAGGGTCGGCTGGACCAAATGAAGGGGGGGGGGAGACAGCTGGCTGGCCTCCCCTCTTCCTCCTGGCCTTTCTTCCACGCCCACCACTTTGGACCCTTCCCCCGGGGGAGGAGGGAGGTTTCCGGGGGTCGCAGTGAGACTGCTGGTGGTGGGGCGAAGAAGGGCAGGCGGTAACAGAATGCCCCCCCCCACCTCCTGCTCCTTTTCTTCTTTGCGCACCACTTCGGACCCCTCGGGGGAATCTTTGGGGAGGGGGCGCAAGGGGGATGCTGGAGGTGGGGGCGCGGCAGGTCCAATTGGGCCAAGCGTTGGGGGGGGGGGCAACCGATTGCCGTCCCTCCCTCTCCTCCCCCTGGTCCTTTCCTTCCCGGCGCACCGCTTTCGACCCCCGGAGTGGGGAGACCTTCGGGGGTCCCAGGGGGGGCTCCTGGCGGGCGGAGGCGCTGGGGGGCCGGCCGGGCGAAGCAAGGGGCGGGCACAGCTGGCCGGCCGCCCCTCCCACTCCGCCTCCTCCCCCCCCCCCGGGCTGGAGCCGCGCCTGATGTAATTTCCGAGCAAGCCGCGCGCGCCCAGGCCCCGAAAACGAAAGTCGGGCCGCCTCTCAAAAGCGCGCCGGCGGGCAGCGCTACAACCATTCGCCGCTCGCTCGGCCGGACAGGCTCCGCTCCCCATCGCTCGCCTGGAACATCGCTTCCCGGAGCCCCGCGGGGTAAGCACAGCCGTCCGCCGCTGGGTCTCCCACCTCGGGAGAGGGGAAAGAGGGCAGGAGCCGCGTTCGCTTCGCCCTGGGAAAGTTGGGAAGAAGCGCCCAACCGGCACGGGGGAAAAAAAGGGAAGGGGCGATGGGGTGGTGGAAGATCGAAGCCCCGGGCTCCGATCTGATCCCCCCCCCACCTCTCCCACGTGGACGGATTGGGCGACCGAGGCCGGAGTTGGGGGTCGGCATTGGCTGCGGAGGATGCGCCTTGGGGTGTCTTGCCGGGGTCGGAGAGACCCCAGACCCACTTAGAGCCAGAGGAGCCAAAAGAACCGAGCGATCCAGGATGCTGGGGTGATGGGGGGTGGGTGGACTGGTGCGATCTCCTTAAGATCCGGCCGATCGCCGCCGCCCTGCTGCCCTGGGGGGAACTACAGTTCCCATCAGCCCCAGCTGGAAACGGCCACGGAGGAGGGAGACACTAGCAGGGATGGCGAGGGGAGGGGGGAATCTCCCGGTGGCCGGCTGGTCATTTCAAAGGCGCGTTTGCTTTGGATGGGCAGGGAGGGAAGGGAAGGGAAGGGCTCTTGAAAGCATCTTTGCTGGAGGGGCGAGGACGGCAGACCGAGGAGCCCAACCCCTTCCCCCTCCCCCTCGCGGAGTTTTGCAATTTCGGGCTGAAACTTCCTCCCTTGGGGGGTTTTTCGCCCGCATTGGGGGGGTGTCCCTGTGAAGAGGCGCACGGGGCGCTTCTGACACCGAAAGACACGTTTCTCTTCCAGCTGGAAATCTCGGGTGGAAAACACCCCGCCGCCACCACATCTGCTTCCTCCTTGGGTCGGACTACAAGTCCCATTTCTCCCTGCCAGCCGGACAAACTGGTGGGACAGCAGCCGCGCTGGGATGTGTGTGCCTGTGGAATTGTCATCTTCGTGGAAGTGGGGGAGCAGTTTGGGCTGGCAGTGACTTTTTGGGGACAATGTTTCTGGTTGGGTTGAGTTGAAGCTGGAAGGGCCCTTGGAGGTCTTCTAGTCTATCCCCTGCCCAAACGGGGGAGTTTGGGACAACTTTTTGGTTTGTTTGTTTGTATCTTGCCTTTATTATTTTTAAAAATAACTCAAGGCAGGGAACTATCTAATTCACCTTATTTCTCCTATTTTCCCCTCCACAACAACAACCCTGTGAAGGTGAGTTGGACTGAGAGAGAGCAACTGGCCCAAAGTCACCCAGCTAAGGCAGGACTTGAACTCAGAGTCTCCTGCTTTCCAGCCTGGTGCCTTGACCTTTAGACCAAACTTCCTGCTTTCTCTCTCTCTCTCTCTCTCCAAGACTTCTCTGTATTCCTGGCATGGGGCTATTATTTTTGCAGCCTCTCCTCCTGAAATTTAATCTCATCCTCTGAAGACTTCAAGGCCTTTATGTGGGAAGAGGAGCATTTGAATTACGCATTTCCTCTTGCCAAGATACACAATCAAGCCCAGAGAGATAAGATGGGGGGTTTAGGCCTTGGGCTAAACCATAATGGGATTTGCAGAATGCAAGCCCAGCCAATTGTAGTTCCTTCAATAAGCTAGTTTCCCCTTCCATGATTTAGTGGGGTGGGCCAGCCCAGTCAGAGCAGTGAAAAAATCAGAAGACATGTCCTCCTATGGCTGGTGCCCATAGCAACTTTAATACCAGCGGTATTAACACAAGCGCCTGGCTCAATAGTAGTCACTGTGAGAGGGATCTTGGAGTCCTAGTGGACAACCATTTAAATAGGAGCCAGCCGTGTGCAGCAGCTGCCAAAAAAGCCAACCCAGTTCTAGGCTACATAAACAGAGGGATAGAATCAAGATCACGTCAAGTGTTAATACCACTTTATAAGGCCTTGGGAAGGCTACACTTGGGATACAGCATTCAGTTTTAGTCGCCACGAAGTAAAAAAGAT